GATGAAGGCTGAAAATACTATTAAACTAAATTTACTTTGCACCTTTCTGCAATAAAAGATTTGTTTGGGCTTTTGGTTTCTTGCACTGTTTGCGAAATATCTTAATTTTCATTTTCCTGGCTAGCATAATTTTCTAGTACATAAACATTTACTGAAAATTGCCTTGCATGGCATCATCAGGTAAATGGGCATTTAAATGCAGTTACTTATGGAGGCCTCTAGGTTTGTGCAATGCTAGATTTAAATTACAATGGTGTACGCAATGTGTTATTAAGCCATACATTAAAAACAGCCAAACTGGGATTACTTCTTTGTTTTCTTTCCTTCTTTCTTTGAAGATACTTGTTTGCATGTACTTTTAATTCCATATCTGATAGTTTAGCATATGGATATAATCATCATATGTTTTCTTCCTACTGGTACTTCCCTTTTTCCTAATTTAAGGTTCAGTCCTGGATGCTGCATTTGAATCAAAGGCTTTACAGAAAGCCATGCTGTTGGGCAAGTATCTGCCCTATTCATTTCTCTGTTTTTTTCTTTTTAATTTTGCTATTATATACTACTTTGTTGGATCCCAGTAGCTTCATGATAAAATAAGCACTATTAACCCACTCAAAGAGTCAGCATGAGGAGGTTAAAATGTGGTCAGGGGTTAATTTACCAGACAGAAATCTCATTAGGTTTTCATGGTTTTGCTGTAGTCAATCACATACTTAGTTGTTATTTTATTGAGTTTGCTATAGACTATGTTTTAAAAGTTGCTGCTCAACAGTTGTTTGGATTGACAGCACCCCTTTTGTTGTATATCAGGCCCATAAGTACATCACATTTACTGGGGAAGTGCCTGGAAGGAACGGTTAGGCTAAACAACTTCAGAAAAACAAGTGGGATTTTTTTTTAACAATGTTGTTTTGAAATTTACTTGCCTGTTATATTTCAATTGTGACTATCCTTTTTCTGAAGGATTTTCTTTAGTTTAAGCATAATTTATGAAGGTGTCCAAATGGCTTATTTTTTTCAGCATAAAGCATTTTTGAGTGTAATTCTCTGTCTTGTTATCAAGTCAGTTCATATTTTTCTTTTTCTATTTTATTTTGAATTTAGATTTTATCATACTGGATTATGATGGTTTATTCCTTTATTTGAAAGTGTGGTTAAATTCTTCTCACATTTTCCAGGAGAAACCGGTGTTTATCAAATCTTCTCTTTGCTCTGCCTGTCTGGATTTTCTTCTATTTTTTATGTTACAGCAATTATTTGTAGCTCCATAGTGTGTCAAATCAAGCAAGAAATATATATTTCATTGTCCTCTTTCAGATAAGTGTGTGAAGTATATATTGTCATTATGAAATGGAAATAATATATAATTTTCAATATATAGTGAAGCTTTATAGTGTAATTGAACATATCTGTGTCTAAAAGAAAACAAGTATCTTGCTTCTAAAGCAGTACCATTAGAAAAGCTGAATTTTTAAAGCAATTTTTTCTAGTAAAATAAATTCAGCACATTTTAAAAAATATTTTCAATTTGGTAAAAACTGTTCAGTCTTTTCAATGAAAAAATAAAGTGATTTTGAGGTTACTTTTTAGTTTTCTAAAAGGATTATTTTTTAAAAAAGGTATTGAAGAGTACTCTTTTCTGAAAATAGTAGTTAAAACATAAAAACTTTATTTAAAAAAAATGAAAAAAAGGTGTAAGAATTTTGGACAAACGTGTAAAATTACAAAATAATTACTGTGGCCGCACCAGTTTACATGTAAGACAGGTGTGACTGGTGATGGTACAAGACTGCATTTCTGCATACAGACCTTGGGGTGGGTTGCCAGTAGATATGTAGGTTGTTTTTTTTTTTTTTTTCTTGTAAGCATCTACCTCTTAATAGTTAATGAAGTTTCCCTGAGTACCACTCAGCACAGTGGATGAACAGAGAGGAGGATAAAGAGGGCTTCAAAATAGCTTTCCTCTTCCTTTCCTCCCCAGCATGTGTGAAAGGGCCAGATAGGGGGAGGAGGGAAGGAAGAGGCATGTGGTGTGAGGAGTAACAGCAAGCAACACAGCTTTAATGCACGGCTTCTCTTGGAACTACAGCCCAACCGGGAGCACGGAGAGCTCGGCTGTTGCAGGGTGCCGACCTCCTCCGGCTCCGTCAACTGGGGTGCCAAACCTGTGGCCATGGAAGTGCGTGTGCTGGAAGGTGGCCACGGTGCTGTGCCAGCAGCCTGTGAGGCGCAGGCTATGGTGGAGGGGAGCGCAAGATGGGATCCAGCAGTGCAAATTTCACAGGTGGTACCTAATGCCCAGTGGGTCTATGGTCCCTCGGAAACTTCAGTTGGGGCTGGTTTAATTAGCTTGTCTGGCTGACACACCAACAATTTTTACTGCACTGTTTTTAAAGATAAGCCAATCCATCACTGCTTTTTGTTTAGAAAGAGTACACAGTGCCAGAACTTTGGCACTTTGGGAGCTGGTTGACGAGCTGGTCAGCAGGGTGGAATGGACGACTGGAGGCAGTAGCTTCATCAGTTCTGCTGGTCCACGGGTTAAAGTGGCCACGTGCTTCTCAGGGACAGATCTGTAGCCACAGCCTTCCCACAAGGCCATCATCCCCGGCTCCACAGCTGCTCTAGTCTAGGTGTCAGTATAAATAAGAAAATGATGGCCTCATTATCTAGGAAATTTCATTTATACCTGTAGCATTTGATTGTATTTTATTCCCCTATTATACCACAAAAGTGGCTTACAGGAGCAGCAACTCAGAGACTTGGCCAAGAACACAGTAAAATGATTATAGGTTTATACCACATTTAGAATATCATTACTTTCTCATAATTCCAGGTATGCTGGGGTGCATGTGTGGAAACAGAAGCAGCAAGAACACAGAAAACAAGCTGCTGGTGGTGGACATTTTCCCTGACAAGGCAGTATGGGAAGGACAGAAATGACGGGAACGTGGTGCTTCCCTCTTCCTTGGCTGGACAGAACAAGTAGCAAGTGAGTATGAATAGCGAGATCGGAAAGGAGGAGAAAGGGAAAAAAAAGCAAAAGGTTGTGGCAGAAAGTAATATGCTCCAAAATAGAGTGTAGCGAAACAACTGTAATTTTCAAAACAAAGTAGTACAGAAGAAGTAACCTGAATATTGTTAATACGACTGCAGGCAACTTAGGCGAAAGCAGGTTTCTTCAGTTGCCTTTACACCCTTAGGTATAAAGAAAACCCTCAGAAAGGGCTGAGGGCAAAGTCGGACTTGCTAGCTTGGGGCTCTGCCTGTTAATTGCTGAACTACATCAGATCATAAAAATCTGAAACTTCCTATCTCGCAGCAAGACAGCGTCATGAATGCCTAAATTTACCACCTGATTCCTGCGATACCTGGAATTCAGTGCTCAAAGAGAGGACAAATATAGCTGCTATATGAAACCACACAATCTGCTTTGGTGCATTTTGGCAGTTCAGAAAAAGCAGAGTTTTTGGACACAGCCCTCCAACAGCCACTCTATACAGAGAAAAGAAAGCTCACTTTCTTCAAGAAGTCCTCAGAAATCCTGAGCTTGATATGTCCTGGCACCACTGCACTGAAAAAACCCTAGATCCGGTGCCTGGATGCTGCCAAATTCTGTCCACAAAACCTAGAAATTATGTCATCATAGTAGAAATAACAATTGCTTTCTATGATTCAGCTAAAAAAAAAAAAAAAAAAAAAGCAACCACTCTGGGATGCCACCAGACCCTGGCAGAGCGGTGCGAAGTCTCCGCCGGTGTGGCGCGAGCCCCTCGCCGCGCTCACCTCTTCCTCACCCCGGGGCTCCCGCGAAGTTTTGCGGGACCGCTCTACCATCGGAAAAGGGGTGTGGGGGGGTGTGTGTGTGCGCGCGCGCGCGCGCGCGCGTGGGTGTGTGTGTCTGTGTTGTTTTGGTTTTTGGAGTCCGGG